TAGGAATCCAACTTACAAGGGATGTGAAGGACCTCTTCAAGGAGAACTACAAACCACTGCTCAATGAAATAAAAGAGGACACAAACAAATGGAAGAACATTCCATGCTCATGGATAGGAAGAATCAATATCATGAAAATGGCCATACTGCCCAAGGGTAATTTATAGATTCACTGCCATCCCCATCAAGCTACCAATGATTTTCTTCACAGAATTGGAAAAAACTACTTTAAAGTTCATATGGAACCAAAGAAGAGCCCAGTTACATTGCCAAGACAATCCTAAGCAAAAAGAACAAAGCTGGAGGCATCACACTACCTAACTTCAAACCATACAAGGCTACAGTAACCAAAACAGCATGGTACTGGTACTGAAACACCACACATCTACAACCATCTGATCTTTGACAAATCTGACAAAAACAAGAAATGGGGAAAGGATTCCCTATTTAATAAATGGTGCTAGGAAAACTGGCTAGCCATATGTAGAAAGCTAAAACTGGATCCCTTCCTTATACCTTATACAAAAATTAATTCAAGATGGATTAAAGACTTAAATGTTAGGGCCAGGTGCGGTGGCTCAAGCCTGTAATCCCAGCACTTTGGGAGGCTGAGAGGCTGAGGTGGGTGGATCACCTGAGGTTGGGAGTTCGAGACCAGCCTGACCAACATGGAAAAACCCTGTCTCTACTAAAAATATAAAATTAGCTGGGCGTGGTGGCACATGCCTGTAATCCCTGCTACTTGGGAGGCTGAGGCAGGAGAATTGCTTGAATCCAGGAGGTGGAAGTTGTGGTGAGTCGAGATTGCACCATTGCACTCCAGCCTGGGCAACAAGAGCAAAACTTCATCTCAAAGAAAAAAAAAAAAAACTTAAATGTTAGACCTAAAACCATAAAAACCCTAGAAGAAAACCTAGGCAATACCATTCAGGACACAGGCATGGGCAAGGACTTCATGACTAAAACACCAAAAGCAAAGCCAACAAAAGCCAAAATAGACAAATGGGATCTAATTAAACTAAAGAGCTTCTGCATGGCAAAAGAAACTACCATCAGAGTGAACAGGCAACCTACAGAATGGGAGAAAATTTTTGCAATCTACCCATCTGACAAAGGGCTAATATCCAGAATCTACAAAGAACTCAAACAAATTTACAAGAAAAAAACAATCCCATCAAAAAGTGGGCAAAGGATATGAACAGACACTTCTCTAAAGAAGACATCTATGCAGCCAACAGACACATGAAAAAATTCTCATCATCACTGGTCATTAGAGAAATGCAAATCAAAACCACAAAGAGATACCATCTCATGCCAGTTAGAATGGCAATCATTAAAAAGTCAGGAAATAACAGATGCTGGAGAGGATGTGGAGAAATAGAAACACTTTTACACTGTTGGTGGGACTGTAAACTAGTTCAATCATTGTGGAAGACAGTGTGGCGATTCCTCAAGGATCTAGAACTAGAAATACCATTTGACCCAGCAATCCCATTGCTGGGTATATATCCAAAGGATTATAAATCATGCTACTATAAAGACACATGCACACCTATGTTTATTGTGGCACTATTCACAATAGCAAAGACTTGGAACGAACCCAAATGTACATCAATGATAGACTGGATTAAGAAAATGTGGCACATATACACCATGGAATACTATGCAGCCATAAAAAAGGATGAGTTCACGTCCTTTGCAGGGACATTGATGAAGCTGGAAACCATCATTCTCAGGAAACTATCACAAGGACAGAAAATCAAACACTGCACATTCTCACTCATAGGTGGGAACTGAACAATGAGATCACTTGGACACAGGGCAGGGAACATCACGCACCGGGGCCTCTTGAGGGGTGGGGGGCTGGGGGAGGGATAGCATTAGGAGAAATACCTAATGTAAATGACAAGTTGATGGGTGCAACAAACCAACATGGCACATGTATACCTATGTATCAAACCTGCATGTTGTGCACATGTACTCTAGAACTTAAAGTATAATTTAAAAGAAAAGAAAAGAAAACATCTAGCTATTTCAATAAATCCAAGTTGTCAGGTCCTGACAAATTATATACCTTGGGTTAACAAATGTGATTGCGTAACTTCTGATCAATGACATTTGAGAAATTGCAAGAAAAATGCCATATCATCCGCTAGGTTAAATGCTATTCCTATTTTCAGAAACAGGAAAAAGGCTTATCTCCTAGTCTATAACAGGGTACATTCAGAGCGACTAGAACACCAACAGAAACATGTATTAAATGCTTATTTTCAGTCAGATGCCATGCCAGGCACTTTTATTATACATTAACTCATTTAATGTGAATCCCTAGATAAAAACAGATTATTATTCATTCATATACTCCTGGTTGTACTAGAACAAGTCATGCCAAACTTACATTTTTTGTTTCTGAAGGGAGATACGGTAGGTAAACAGAAAGTCATTTTATGAAATATTTTGGTATCTACCTAAGAACAAACTGGAGTCCTGGAGCCTGGGTGAAAATACAGAGTCTTGCTAGAATGTTGCCCTCCATGAGAGCAGATACACCATTTGTCTTGTTCACTGTGGTATCCCTAGAAGTACAACAGTGCCAGGGACCCAAAAAACACTCATTATTTGCTGAATGAGAGATGGCTCACAGCTGACTTGAGTGTCAATACTCGGAGAACGTTCACTGGGTGCCCCATGTCAATTTATGGCACAGGGTCTCTAGGAAGGCTTTGAGGTTGACCTTAACCTAGTTTAGCTCAGTATTTGAATCAATATCTTGAATGAAGATAACTTATCACATTCAAAGTTAACACCAAGGGCAGCTAACTTATTAGAAGGCAGAAGTTAGGATTTAAAAAGATCTCCATGGCTAGGAGAGCTAGGTGAAATTAACAAGATAGAAGTTAAGAGGATAAGAAAGAAAGCCTTGTACTTGGGCTTAAAAATTAACTGTACAAAAGGACAAGGGAAATCTAGATTAAGAACAGTTCATCTATATCAACCCAAAAGTTCTGCAAGCTCAGTAAGAGGCAAAAGTCTAACAGGTTTGTCAAAAAAGCTAATGCAATTCTAGGTGGTATTAAGAGCAAGGTCGGGGAGAATGCTGATGTCCTCTTCAATAATATTATCATCTTTGGGGAAGGTACTCAGTTCTGGGAATCATATTGTAAAAGGATCAATAACTCTGTGTGTTACAGGGGAGGGGAGGGCAGGATCTAGGCTAGGAAATGCTCTGGAAACCAGACAAGAGCAACTGAAGGAAAGAGGATGTTTAAACGGGGCGGGGGAGACTTTTGGGGGTGGAAAGGGAGCGGGGTACAGCACAGTACTATCTTTAAATACAGTAAGCTATCTAATGAAAAAGCGACTTGGCTAGGGATTGCAAATGAGTTTCCTTTCATGAGCGAATTCTAATCAACTGGTAGTGACTGCCAGGAACTGGTGCTGAGAAAGATTCTGAGCCTAAGTGTGGTCAGCAGGAAAGAATGCTGTGATCAATTATCCATGTCTGCTATGAATTTGGGGAAGTGCAGTGCCTACAGGAGGGCCAAGTATTTGCTGACTCTGGACTACACAGACTTATTCCAAACCGTTCCATAGGCCAAGCCCAGGACTGCTCATTTGAAGTCACTGGGAAACTGGAAACTAAGGGGTGGCTGGCACAGCACCAGTGCCAGAGTGGCAAGATGCTCAATGAACTTGGAAGTCCCTCCTCATTTTAAGTTGCAGGCAAATGCAAGATAAAACTCATGGACTCCAGTTCCAAAGACATCCATTTTTGTAGCAAGCCTCTTTACAGCCTCTATAGAAGAGCTGCTAGAAAAACTGCCCTGTGCTCCCGACAGCAGTGGTTTCAGTTGTTCCATAGACCTGGGGTCATGAGACTAAACTGGTGTGGCATGGGATATGTCTATTGCCATGAGGAGGGGCAGTAGGAATACTACTGATAGGTCTCTAATGTGACATTTTCCTATTAGTATTATAAGCAATTCTCTCACCCCTTAGAAGTTATGCTAGGTTTTCGAGAACATTTTATCTAATTATATTCATGTATTTAACTGTGGGACCAAAGGTGGGGGTGGAAGTGAGGGGGTCTTCAGGAACATTTTTTTTTTAAACTAGTGGACAAGCGATTCTACTTAACATTTACAACATATCAACATCTTTTTAGAACACTATTTTCATCATTCCACTCAAAAGCCTTGATGCATCTCAGCTACAGGATCATGTACTGGTACTCAAAACAGAGTCCCACATTGCTCCACATGTCTTTTCTCAGCCCTGTTGTTCCACCTCTGCTAGCATTGACTCGTTTACTTATTTTTTCTCCCAAATTCACTTTGACTGTATCCAGTTCAGAGCTGCTATTATTTCTCTCTTCATGCCTGGAATGTTCTCCTTGATTCTGTCTGCAACTACTACCCATCCTTTAAAATCCAACTAAGCCTCTCCTCCTCTTCAATTGTTTCCAACAAAAACCTACAGGTTCTCCACCTCCTATGAAGTCCTGTCACTCTTACTACCTCTTAAATACTTTAAGTTTTTCACAGCCAGAGATCAAAACTCATTGTACTCATCTTCAATGCTGTACACAAAGCTGACATCCAATTTTGTCCTCACAGGACTTAGATACCGTATAAGGCTTATATTCCCAGCACACAACTCTGGAATCAGGCTAGATTCCTCACTGCCCCCAAGAAGATCGTGGCTTTTTTTGTTTTCTTTTAATGATTCCTTTGCTCATTTTTCCCCTTCCTGTGATGTTCTCCTTTTTGCTTACCACCCGAATCCTACCCATCAAGGCCCTGATAAAGTCACTCTTTTTCCACAGAGATGATCTGGATCACTTCCATCTTCAACCACCTGCCCTTTAAACTCTTTATCCAGTCTACAATGCATCTTAGTTCTTGTTCAATTCTCTGGCCGTAACATTTTCATTATTGCTTCCGAGAGGTTTGGTTCTTTTTCTTTCTAATTACATTTAAGCATCATGAGGACTGGCTCACCTTTACCTCACAGCACACAATGGTTGGTACTCTAAAACGTTTAGCTCTGTGGATCTCAACCCGGAGCGATCTTGCTTCCAAGAGGACATCTGGCAATATCTGGAGACATCTTTGGTTGTCACACTTGGGGGAGAAGGTGATACTGACAAAATAGAGAGCAAGGATACAGCTAAACCTACAATGCACAGGGCAGCCTCCCAAAACAAAGAATCTTCCGGCTCCAAAAGGCAACAGTGCCGCCGTTAAGAAACCCTGGGTTAGCTGAATGACCCCGTGAACCGCGAAACCACAGCCCCCGAGAGAGCGGACGTTTGCAGGTGGAAGGGCCGCGCGGATGAGCTGGCGGAGGGCTGGCAGGTCCGGCCCGGCCACCCCGGGGAGGGGTGGAGGTACAGGACCAACATCCGCGTCACGCAGGGGCTAGGAAGTCCTCCAGGGACTCAAAACACCCACCCCCCTACTCGCTCCATTCCCTACCTGCAGCCGGAGGTCGACAACGGAAACGCAACGTCACTTTCCGCGGAAGACACCCCGGCTCCGCATCTGCAGCCAGAACGCCTAAGCAGTTCTCGCGATACCCTGGGATGTGCTCTCGCGATACGTAGGTGGAGCTTCCGGCCGGTGCTGGGCAACCGAGCGCATGCGCCATAGCTCTTCAGAGAGGGAAGGCTGTACTTAGCAGGTCTCTGGAAGTTGCGGGATGGGCTGTGAAGCGGTCATGCCTTGCCCAGCCTTCAGTCCCTAGTCTCTGGGCCCCCGCCCTCCAGCCGCCTTTGAGTCGTGCCTGGATCCTCACCCATGCCTCAGAACCGTGAAGAAAGGAAGCTCGCGTGTTTGCTAGAAAACCTAGTTGGGAGTGCGAGGCAGAGAACGTTCAGCACCCTTGTTCCTCCCGAACCTCCGGGACAGAGGCAGGGCTCTGAGGGCAGGGATTCCCCTTCGTCTTGGCCCCACAGCCCGGGCTGGGCACTAAACTCGGGCCGCGGCGGGGCGAGCGAGGCGAGCTTCGGAGGAAGCTGATGCCTGATGATGGCTCAGGTAGACACACCTGCCCCTTCTCGGGGACAGGCGGAAATGAAGTCTTGTTTGTGTTCGTTAAAACTCCTTTCCCCGCGAGGCCTCTTATGGCTTCCCCGGAGGCCACTCGTCTGTTTTCAGACGTTCACGCCTCTGCCCCGCAGGTAACCTGTAACCATTTTGTCTTCTAGTCCAACATGCTCCCCGTGGCTGATGTGTTGAGTCAAGATGAACTGCGCAAAAAGCTATACCAGACGTTTAAGGATCGGGGTATACTGGACACACTCAAGGTATCGATTTAGGCGTATCTGTGTCATAACTTTTACAAGTGTAACCTGTAACAGGTAGTTAAAATTCAGTCAAGGTTTAGGTTTTAATAATCGTATGATACATAGATTGTAATGGTCAATTACATTTTTATATTCCCGAATAACTCTCTATCCTGAAACATTACAGTCTCTTGAAAACGTTTGAGAAAATGTTGAGTTTGAGTAGTCTTAAAGGAGCATATTCAAATAATTAATTGAATTTGACAGTAAGATAGGAGGAAATATTTATATAATGAACACAGTAAGATTAGGCTTGTTTTATAAATATGGCTTATAGGTTCCTAAACTAGTAAGTGGATTTGTAAAACATTTGGATGAAGGACATTGACACCATATAGAAAATACTAGTGTACTGCTTAATAGTTTGGGAAATGAAAATTCATCTTTAAACTATATTGAAATGTATGAATATTTAATTTGGGCAGCGAATATCTATTAGTATACTTTATATTTGGATTAACAGCCAGGAGTAGGATTAGCTCAGCGTGTTTTCATTGCAATATGCATTTCAAAAGCATATTTTACATTTAAAATACGTAGATATAGCCTGTATATGTATCCTTTTTTAATTTAAATTATATGGTGAGCGTTTCCCTGTTTCCTTAAAAGTTTTTTGAAATCTTCATTTTCAGTGGCGACAGGCTTATCTTTGGATATTTTTGTAATGCATATAGCAGTCCCCTGTTGTTGAATATTTTGGTTATATTCTCCAACAGTCCACAGAGGTGTGATGAAGTGGCAGAAATTTTTCCTATATTTAATATCCCAATCATAAGCTGCTGAAATGGGCTTCTAGGGAAGTGAAGTTATGAGTCTGCAAGCAGATCTGGCTAACCACCCGTTTCATTTGGAAGCTGGGGAAAGAAAGCTTTTTCTAGAACCCACTGGACTGCTTGTCTCACGGGGTAAGACAAAGTGTGCAGGGAAAGGTTCCTAACTTCTGGCCATGGATCTAGAACCATTATGGAAATAGAAGGAAGGTTTCCAATGAATGTAACACATCTGTGTATATCTCTAATGAAACAATCCTGCTGAAATGTCTTTTCCTTGTGTTTGTTTCTTTTTTATTTTTGTTTTTATTTTGCGCTAGACACAACTTCGAAACCAGCTAATTCATGAGTTGATGCACCCTGTATTGAGTGGAGAACTGCAACCTCGGTCCATTTCAGTAGAAGGGAGCTCCCTCTTAATAGGCGCCTCTAACTCTTTAGTGGCAGATCACTTACAAAGATGTGGCTATGAATATTCACTTTCTGTTTTCTTTCCAGAAAGTGGTTTGGCAAAAGAAAAGGTAAAGTCTTTCCTTTTCTATTTTTGAATTTTTTATTAACAGGTTGTTCCTCTGCTGACAGTAAAGTGCTGCATGATAGCTAAGTGCTCCTTGACTAGGTCCATTTCTAGTTCCTCTTTGAATTCACGTTGTACCTGCACACAATATATTTGTTATATAATAAGTGGGTACTAAATTTGAAATTAATTTTTTGGCATCTCATTTAGTCTCATGTAAAATAGTGATATATAGAATCTCTAAATGTTCCAGACCTATAATTGATCTATCCTCTATCTTGTCTAATAAGATTCTGCCAATCTGCTGAATGCCTACTGTAAGCTTGGCACTGTGATAGGCACACTGCAGATGTTTTGTGTGTTACAGATGAGGAACCAGACGCTGGAGAGGTGAATCAGTTTGCCCAAGCTCAAGTAACTTTTAAGTGGCAATACAGGGTGGTAAATCTAGATTTCTAACATGAGCTCTTTTTTTCTGCACTAGTTTCTTCAGATGTTTCTCTTCTTTGTAATTAGATAAGTGAGAAATATGTAATTTAAAAAATCTGTAAAGTTCTCAAATATTAAAAAGACGTTTTATTTTTTACTACTTTTCTAATTATTTTAACTATATTTCTTCAGCATTACTGTTGAACATTAGTACTACTTTATTATTTTAAAGGCAGTTACAGCAGACTTTCCCTGTGGATATGTGCATGTTTTGTTTTTTTTTAATAGACTTTATTTTTTCAGAGCAGGTTTGGGTTCACAGCAAAGTTAAGTGGGAAGTACAGAGAATTCCCATATGCCTGCTGCCCCTACACACTCACAGCCTCCCTCACTGTCAACATCTTGCATCAAGGTGGTACATTTGCTACTATCTATAAGCCTACCCTGACATGTCATTATCACCCAAAGACCATAGTTTACGGCGAAGGTTGCAGTGAGCCGAGATCATGCCACTGCACTCCAGCCTGGGTGATAGGGCGAAACTGTGTCAAAAATAAAATAAATTTCACTCTTGTTGTTGTTCATATGTTTTTACTTTCTTTGTGTTTTCTGTAATTATCCAAAAGTTTCATATTCCAAAGTTTTAATGACACAAGAAATACAGTATTTGAGTGAAAACTTAAGTAATTTGCATTTCTTCATAAGCAACCAAATTTTATTTATTGATATTAGGAATTTATTTATTTATTTATTTATTTGAGACAGAGTCTTGTTCTGTCACCCAGGCTAGAGTGCAATGGTGCAATCTTGGCTCACTGCAAATTCTGCCTCCCGGGTTCAAGCTTCCCAAGTAGCTGGGATTACAGGCACCTGCCACCACACCTGGCTAACTCTTGTATTTTTAGTAGAGACGGCGTTTCACCATGTTGGCCAGGCTGGGCTCAAATCCTGACCCCAGGTGATCTGCCTAACCTCCTAAAGAGGTGGGATTACAAGTGTGAGCCGTCGTGCCTGGCCTGGAATTCATTTTTGATACATCATTCTCTAACTTTCTAATCACTTTATACTTTTACTTATTGTATAATAGTCAATTACATAATTATATAACAGGAATTAATCCCGTTCATACAACTTAACGGTTTCTACTAATGTAAAATGCCCATGCAGAATATTTTCTTTAAAGGAAAACCAATTGAAAACAAATATCAGTGTTCTCAGAGCAGACATAGTGAATGGTATATACTGTAGTATAAATATATTTTAATAGCTACCAAAAATGTCTGTTTAACAATATTTTAAGTATACTTTAATTATGGTTTTAAGGACAGTAAAAATTTATTTACATTTTTAAACAATGAATACTTTTTAAAAAATTGTAATTGAATGACCCAGGAACTCAGTCATGTATTCATTGGATATTTCAGTGTCATCTGTAAGGCATTAAACATTTCTGTTAGACATATCATCTTTGATGTGAAGTACTTAGAAGTTAATTACATGGTAAAGATATTTTGTCCTTTTGACCTTGATATGTTTATAGTAACTTATTTAACAGTGTAAGAAAGAGCTTTAAGTTTGCTTTATTAGCATAGTTATAATCTTATTTAATCTGAAGGATGTTTCTTAATTTCATATTCAGAAACATCCTAATTTATCATTTAAACACTGATATAACAATATGTCTAATTAGTAACCTTTTTTTTTTTCTTAAGGTATTTACTATGCAGGATCTATTACAACTCATTAAAATCAACCCTACTTCCAGTCTCTACAAATCACTGGTACGATGGCTCAGTTTCTATAATCTACTTTGGTTTGTTAATTATAACTGAATAGCTGAATAAAAGTAAAATATTTTCTTTTAACAGGTTTCAGGATCTGATAAAGAAAATCAAAAAGGTAGGAGCCATCATATTTATAGAGAACAGCAACATTTTTCTATGTACTTTTTCCTCTAAAAGAATTAAGCTAACTTTTAAGGAGAAGAGTAAAATTTAATTTGATTTAAATTATTTAATTTCTGCAGGTCATTTCTCCTATATTTCCATTTTTGTAATAACTTAGATATTCAAATAAGAAAACTGCAGACAGTATCAAAGGCCCTACAGACAGGCTGAAAGATACTGTTTGTAAAAATACCCACTGTTGGGAACATTTCAGCAGGGAAAAAAAAAAAAAAAAACCTCAAAAAACTAATAACTTTTAGGCCAAGTGTCTTTGTATACTAGGTATCCTTCTCAAGTATAATTGATAGGGTATTAGATGTATTAATATTTCCTTAAATAATGAGAGTTGTATTCAGTAATGTGTTATATGTCTTTTGTTCTTAAGTGTTTATACAGGCCAGGCGCGGTTGCTCACGCCTGTAATCCCAGCACTTTGGGAGGCCGAGGCGGGTGGATCACCTGAGGTCGGGAGTTTGAGACCAGCCTGATCAACCTGGAAAAACCCCGTTTCTACTAAAAATACAAAAAAATTAGCCACGTGTGGTGGCACATGGTTGTAATCACAGCTACTCAGGAGGCTGAGACAGGAGAATTGCTTGAACCTCGAAGGCAGAGGTTGTGGTGAGCTGAGATCACGCCATTACACTCCAGCCTGGGCAACAAGAGCAAAACTCCGTCTCAAAAAACAAACAAACAAAAATGTTTATATAGACCTAATAAATTGCCTTAATTTTGGCCTTGATAACAACCTTTCATAGAGTCCGTAACTACTGTGGGTTTTAGACCGTTAGTTAGACTTGATGATGGACTTTGTAGCATGAACATAAGCTGGCAACTTGGCTTTGATGCATAGTTATTCTTTAGGTATTTTAAAATAAGCTGTTAGTAATAGTCCTTTTGTTTTGGTACACCCTTGGATTTTGTCTGTTGCCTGCACTGCTATCATCCCCACAAGGACATTCCTTTATTCATCTGTTCGTTCGCCAATTCATGCAGAACTTAATCATGTGAATACTTATTTTTCTGCCAGCCATTAAGTCTGTGACTTAATTGCCAAGTCTTTTGGTAGTAATGTTAGCAGAGGATAAATAAATTGGAACATGAGATATTCTGGGCTGCCCGCAAACTAGACCGTCCCTACTAAAGTTCAGTATGGTAAATGATCCTATATTCTGTACTCTAGGAACTGTCCAGTGTAACTCTCTGTGATTATGGAAATGTCTATATCTATGCTGTTTAATGTGGTAGCTGCTAGCCTCATGTGGCTATTGAGCCTTGAAATGTGGCTAGTGTGACTGAATAACTGAATTTTAAATTTACGTTTAATTAGCTACACATGCATAGTGACTACCATATTAGCATAACTCTGAGGTATATAGCTAGTATCTTTTACTTAACTATTATTTCATGGCTTGAAGGGATATTAAGAAATCTGTGGGCCAGGCACGGTGGCTCATGCCTGTAATCCCAGCACTTTGGGAGGGCAAATCCGGCTGATCACTTGAGGTCAGGGGTTCGAGACCAGCCTGGCCAACATGGTGAAACATGTTGAAACACCATCTCTACTAAAATACAAAAATTTTGTATTAGAAATACAAAAATTAGCCAGGCGTGGTGGCGAGTGCCTGTAATTCCAGCTACTTGGGAGGCTGAGGCAGGCGAATCGCTTGAACTGGAGAGGTAAAGGTTGCAGTGAGCCAAGATAGCGCCACCACACTCCAGTCTGGGTGACAGAGCTAGACTGCATCTCAAAAGAAAAAAAAAATCTATGTAGATACATTATCCTTAAAAACAGTTTTTCCATGGCAGGGCGCAGTGGCTCACGCCTGTAATCCCAGCACTTTGGGAGGCTGAGGTGGGCAGATCACGAGGTCAGGATAGCAAGGCCATCCTGGCCAACATGGTGAAACCCTGTCTCTACTGAAATACAAAAAAGGTTAGCCAGGCATGGTGGCGTTCACCTGTAGTCCCAGCTATTTGGCAGGCTGAGGCAGGAGAATCGCTTGAACCCTGGGAGGCGGAGGTTGCAATGAGCTGAGATCGCGCCACTGCGCTCCAGCCTAGCAACAGAGCAAGACTCTGTCTCAAAAAAAAAAAAGAAAGAAAAAAAAAAGTTTTTACACAGTCTCTTCAGTCTCTTTAAATGCATCTGGTTCAGAAAGACATCTGGCTGACAGCCGTTACCAGCTTCACCTAGCATCCCAGTAAAATTTCTGGAAGCCAGAAAAACTATGAGTTGCAGATATGTCAGGCTTCCTAGTGCCAAAATTTGGATAGAACTCTTAGCTAACAATAAAATAGCTCCTGGTAAGATAAATTTTTTTTAAAAAAATTGGTGTCTTCCAATTAACCAACAGAAAACATGTAGAAAGATATTTTGTACTTAACTGTTATCTGTCCCCTGACTCAGAGACCTGTGGTCTTATCCTACCATACCTATGCTCAGGGGATGCTAAGCTGTTGAATGACCATGGTACTTTTCTCCTAGATTCTAGTCACCCATTCTTCCCACTCCTAATTTTTCCTTTCAGAGATAGTGATACCTGTTATGCACGTCCGTGTGAAGAGACCACCAAACAGGCTTTGTGTGAGCAACAAGGCTGTTTATTCACTTTATAAACAGCCTTGTTGGGTGCAAGTGTGCTGAGTCCAAAAAGAGAGTCAGTGAAGAGATAGGAGAGGGGCAGCTTTATAGGGCTTGGGTCGGCAGTGGAAAGTTACAATTAAAGGTGGTTATCTATTATTAGCAGGGGAGGGGGTCCCAAGGTGCATGGTGGAGAGATCATGGGACTCATTGTCCAGAAGAAGAATGTCACAAGGTCGATTGATCAGTTGGAGCAGGGCAGGAACAAGTAATAATGGTGGAATGTCGTAAGGTTGGTCAATCAGTTAAGGAAGGAGCTGTTTCACTTCTGTGGTTTTTCGGCTGCCTCCTGCAGGCCATCTGGACGTATATGTGCAGGTCATGGGGGTTACAATGACTGAGCTTTGACTCAGAGGCCTGACAATATCCAGAAAATGATGTGCACAAAATTTGGAAGAGGGAAGAAAATTTGGACATTGGCCCTTTGCTTTTTGGAAGTTAAAATTCTTATCTGCAATTGGCAAAAGAATAGACATACACATCAATGGGGACAGAATTAGAAAGTCCAGAAATACATCCACACAAATATAGTCAATTGATTTTTTTTTAACAAAGATGCAAAGGCAGTTCAATAGAGGAAAGATAGTCTTTTCAACAAGTGGTGCTGTAACAATTGGATATTCATACTCACAAAAGTGAACCTAGACACAGATCTTATACTTTACACAAAAACTAACTCAAAATGAACCATAGACCTAAATGTAAAATGCAAAACTATAAAACTTCCAGATGAGAACAGTAGAAAGTCTGTGTGATCTTGGGTTTCGTGATGAGATGTAACACCAAGAGCAAGATATATGAAAGAAAAAAGTAGATCAGTTAGACTTTATTAAAATTAAAAACATCTCTGTGAAAGACACTGTTCTTTTTGTTTTGTTTTTGAGATTGAGTTTCACTCTGTCGCCCAGGCTGGAGGGCAGTGGTGCGACCTCAGCTCACTGCAGCCTCCACCTCCTGGGTTCGAGTGATTCTCCTGTCTCAGCCTCCTGAGTAGCTGGGACTACAGGTGCCTGCCATCACGTCTGGCTAATTTTTTTGTGTTTTTAATAGAGATGGGGTTCATCATGTTGACCAGGCTGGTCTTGATCCCCTGACCTCAGGTGATCCGCCCACCTCAGCCTCCCAGAGTGCTGGGATTACAAGTGTGAGTCACTGCACCCTGCCGAAAGACACTGTTAAGAGAATGAAAAGACCCAAAGTCAAAACAAGAGTGAACCTTAATGTTTGCAAATTTACGTCAGGTGATCCCAGGATGGAATGCAGACAGTGACAAAACAATCTGATCCCCTCCCTGTAGGGGGTGGGGGTGGGGGAAAAGGTGCTGAGCTAACTAATGTTTTTAGTTCCAGGAAACTAAACATTTCTTAAGTAATTTATGCGTGTGGTTTAAAACAAAGTCTCAAACTATTCAGAAGGATATAAAGTGAAAGCAAAGTAGCAGTTTCTGCCCATGTTCTCTAATCTCATGCTCCACTGATAATTAGAATTAACAGTTTCACTCCACTGATAACTAGATTTAAGTTTCTTGTTTATCCTTCTAAAACAGGTTAAAATTATGTATTTGTAATTAAAACACAATCGAGATTATATCATAGATACTGTATGCAATTTGCTTTTTTTAATCCACCAGTATATCTTTCTATAGCAGTATAGACTACTTATTTTTAAAGAATGTATTTAACCCCCTATTGATTGAGATTTGGTTGTTTTATTGTTTGCTTTTTGCCATTACAGGTAACCAATGTGCAGACCATTGTGCAGTGTGCACCCTTTGTGCCCTTATAAAAGTATAGCTGTGTAAATTCATAGAAGTGGAATGACTAAAGGGCACATACATTTCAAATATATATAAGCACTGGCAAATTTCTCTCCCAAGTGAATGAGCATAGCTATATATCCACTCCCTTGCCAACACTTAGCATTATACAAGTTTTAATCTTAGCAGTGTTATAGGGAAAATAGTGGTTTCTCTGTTGTATTAATTTGCATTTATGATTTTGTTCATGTTTATTCAGCATCTAAAAATTTTGTTCATCTTTGACAATTTTTTTTTTTCTACGCACTGTCCACGTTTTTTCCCATTTTTCTGTTTTTTTTTTTTTAACTGATTTGTAAGTATTCTTTGATGTTATGAAAATGTCATCACTTTAGTCTTGGTTATGCCTCCATATTATTGCAACTATTTTTCCCAGTATGTTATATTTTTATTTTATGCCATATGTAAGCTTTCACTTTTTATGCAGTTAGATTGATAAATATTTCTCCTTATTCCTTCCAGGTTTTGCATCAGGCTTGGGAAGGCTTTTCCTCAAATTTATTGAAAGATATGACTGGGCACAGTGGCTCATGCTTGTGATCCCAGCACTTTGGGAGGCCCAGGCAGGAGGATTGCTTGAGGGCATGAGTTTGAGACTAGCCTGGGCAACATAGTGAGACTCTGTTTATACGAAAAGTAAAATTAGCTGGGCATGGTGGGTGGTGGTGTGTGCCTCTAGTCCCAGCTACTTGGGAGGCTGAAGTAGGAGGATTGCTTGAGCCCAGGAGGTTGAGGCTGCAGTGAGCCATGATTACACCACTGCACTCCAGCCTGGGTGACAGAGCAAGACTCTTGTCTCTAAAAAAAGGAAAGATATATAATGTAAAAAATAGTAATGTCATAAAACTAAGATTGTATAAACAGTGACTGAGCAGTGGTTGAAAGTTCTGAAACAAAACTTATGCATTATGTTTTTTAGGTTTTCTTATGCATTTTTTAAAAGAATTGGCAGAATATCATCAAGCTAAAGAAAGTTGTAATATGGAAACTCAGACAAGTTCGACACTTAGCAGAGATTCTCTGGGTAATTACAGCCTTTCTTAATTTCAGTTCTGCTGTTTTCATTTTGAATGAAGGAAATTATCTGATTTATGATATTGTGTGATTGCTCCTTGAACTGGAGGGATGCAACCTGCAGGCAACAAGGGAATTCATTTCTTCTGGAATCATCATGGGGGACCAGGAAGTGCTCTCCAGGGTCATTCCCTAGCCTCATAAATGCCAGGGCTACATTGGCCAAATCATGCAGGCATTCAAAGGCCCATATTCTTCCTTGTTGAGTTTGACTTCTCTTAACTGGGAGGTTCTTCCTTGTGTCTTGTCTAACTTTACAGCCACCCAGTTAGAAGATTAAACGACTTGCTTTGCAAAGAACTAAAGAAGTCACTGGCTCATCACTTCATTTTATAGTTGAGGAAACCGAGGTCCTCAGAGGAAGAGCAACTTGGAAACACTCAGGCTGCATCAGAACTAATAGTGGAGTCCAAGTTCTCCTGTCCATGATCTAGAGCTTTTTGTACTATCCAGCTGGTCTACAATACCATCCTGTCCATCAGTTTTGTGCTCAGTAGAGATGGGAAACAGCTGTTTAAAATGATATGCTTAATGGATTTCTTGGCCCTTCCTTACTCTTAAATAGTAAGAGTAACTTGTAAGAAGATAAGTTCATAATTCATAAAATGTATTATATGACTATGCCTTTCATTAAGTGTAGGTTTAATTCAATTAGAAACATACTACTTGCTAATTATCAAGCAGTGTTGTTCAGTGGTGTGAGCCACATATGTAATTTTAAATTTTCTGGCAGCCACATTGAAAAAAGTAAAAAGAAACGGGAAATTTGTTTTAATAATATTAACCCAATACATCCAAAATATTATTTCAACTTGTATTCAATATAAAAAATACTAATGAAATATTTCACATTTAGTTTTTGCACTAAGTCTTTGAAATCTCATGTGTTTTTTACATTTAAAGCACATCTCAGTTCAATTTGGTCACATTTGAAGTGTCAATGGCCCCGTGTGGCTGGAGAGTCCTGTATTGGACAGCATTTGGAAAATACAGAAAAGTAGATGGAAAAACATGTCTAAAGTCATCCCTACCAGAGATAAACACTATCAGTGTTTTAATCTACTTCTGCCAGCCTTTTTCGATCTGTGCATACTTTTTTGGTGGGCGTTATACATGGTTGAGATTGTACTGTGGGTTGAGATTTGCACTTTGCTGTGTGGTTGATTCTGATCCATAGTTTGTTTGAGGGCCGTGGACTAAGGGAAGAAAGAGTCAGTAGACCTCACTTTAATCCTGGTTATGCTGTTATGTAGTCACTTATTAAGCTGTATCGGCATTTGTTCTTTATCTGTAAAGGGGAGGCGTTGATGTACATGATCTTTGATTCTTTTTAAAGTTATTGTTTTGAATGTGTAAGTCAGCTTTAACTGAAGTCCAATAAAGAGCTCTCTGCCTTAGCACTTAGAGAGTAGGAAAAGACTCCAGTGTTTTCTGACTTAAACTGTACTCTTGGCTTTCTTTGTCCTCTAACATTTTATGATGAACATTTTCAAACATACAGAAAAGTTGATACAATTTTAGTGAACACTTGTATATCCACCACCTAGATTCCACTATTACGCTTGTATTATACGCGCTTCATCATTTTTATCTGTCCATCCATTCATCGACTTTCCTTTTTTTGTATTTCAAAGTAAGTTGCAGACATCCCTACACTTTCACCTAAGTATGCTCTTTTGAACCAAAGGTCTGGCATCTTACACACCTGACCATGTTTCTATGTCCTAATTTGATGTGTTATTTTTTAATAGCTGAGAAGCTTCAGCTTATTGATGATCAGTTTGCAGATGCTTACCCTCAGCGTATCAAGTTCGAATCTTTAGAAATAAAGCTAAATGAATATAAGAGAGAAATAGAAGAGCAACTTCGGGCAGAAATGTGTCAAAAGGTAAGCTTTATCTTGTTACCGTTAATAAGAGTGATGTTTTTGCTTGTCTTCTAAAGTCTTAACCTTAGGTATATGGGAAAATATCTAGAACTTTTCATAGTGAATGGGATACTATACTGTTGTGCACATATTTTTTTATTTCTGATGACATTTGTTTATGCCTATTGAGTGAATCAAATAAAATAAATGAAATAAAACTAAAGATGAAATAAATATATTTGGGCAGAGCATTAATGTTAAATCTAGATGTAAAGAGAGAACTTGTTCCTTTTTTTTATAGTATAATAGTACTTTTAATTTTTGTGATCAATTTGCAGTTGAAGTTTTTTAAAGATACCGAGATAGCAAAAATTAAAATGGAAGCGAAAAAAAAGTATGAGAAGGAATTAGCCATGTTCCAGATTGATTTTGAGAAAGCCTGTCAAGCAAAATCTGAAGCCCTCGTTCTTCGGGAAAAGAGTACCCTTGAAAGAATTCAAAAGCACCAAGAGGTGGTATTTACAAATATTTTATGTGTGGCTATTTCCTGCAGCTATTAGTAGGTTGGCTCAAGATCCAGGAACAGGATGGTACAATTGATGGAACAAGGCCCCAGAAGAGCAATAGGGACTGGGGCCAAGAGTGCAAACAGAAGGATGGGCCTTGAAAAGGATACACAAATTTGCTTCCTCTGAGACTGGTGGAAAGGGAAGAACTGTGGAGGTGAACAATCAAGTTGGGATTATGAGAAACATACCCTAAATAACCTCCATCTCCTCAGGCAGATTAGAGGGTTAGATCTCGGGTTTTAGGAGCAGATTGGAGGTGCAGAGTAGCTCCTGTGGATAAGGGAAGAACAGCCCTTTAAAGCAGAGAGGACTGATCACCTGTATTGAGGGCTCAGCTGTGGTTGGGGGAGCCTGGAATTGAGAGAGATCAACCCATGTGCTTGTAGGTGAGTTTTCTGTTCTAGTTCTGAGGAGGATTTGTAAGTATCTCTTTCTGCCCCTTTCAGTGTGGGTGGAAAAATGGAGATGCTTTGGAAGTGGAGCTTTTCAGAGTCTAATTTATTTGACTAGAGAAAGGCAGTCTATTTAATTGAAGATTCTGGGGCTCTCTTGGGTAGTGAAGGGAAGCAGAGGAGAGGGCAGGTGGCTTCTGGGGGAAAGGGAGGGTTGAGTGGCAGTGTCAGTGATCAAGGACTCAATCTAGAGAGACTGGTAGTTGGAAGAATAAGGATGGTCCAAGAATATAGAATTGCAGGATGAGGTTTCAGGTGGAGACTAGAAACCAAATGCAGTATGCTGCCATTGGAGAGAGCCATGGAAATGAGCAAGGATGAAGGTCCCTGGGGTAAAGGAGTCACCAGGGCCGCAAGGGTCATCCATGTGACCATTTGATCTTATCACCCCAGAAAGTAACTGGACAGGAGACGGAGAGGGTGAAGAGTGAGAGGGAGTCCATGTTGGCAAGCGGGATTGGATCTACTCCTTTAAGATCATATTCCTTTCCCAAGGGCGTGTCTTAGACCAAACTAGATTTACCACACTATTTCCAACATACATCCAGAACTACTGCTGTCAGATGTTGAAAGTAGGAATGCTTCCCCCTAGTGTCCACTCTTGCTTGGGGCTTCTCAATAAGACCTGGTTGTATAATGCTAAGGGCACCCCCTCTAAAATTTTGTATAGGATTTCTGGGAATTGGGCTTGCTTCAGCTATAAAAATGAATGTTGGAAGCACATATCTTTGAGATGATTAGATTGTGTTTAGACTAATAACTCCATCTTCAAGATAGGTGACTGACTAGATCCCTGTTTGTTTAACTCTGATTATCTGAAAGCTTTGAAGAAGATTGTCATCCTCATAAAAAGCACCATATCGTTATTCCCTCACCTGGACTGTCCATCCCCTTCTTTCCCTGATAAAACCATACCGTCTTTCAAGACCCAGCTTGGATGTCACCTGGGTAATGCCTTCCCTGACTCCCACTGAGCGACTCATTTAGGCCTTGTTCCTGCATCACTCTCTATGTACTTCAGTTACAAAATCATCACATCTTAGTGTGATTGTTTCTCACTCCTTGACTAAATTGTGAGGTCTTTAGAGATGAGGACTGTATCTGTCTACCTTTTTATATCCAGTTTCCAGTATGCTGCTTGACATGTCGTGGGTAGTTAGTAAATTCTTTCTCTGTGAACACACAAATGAAAGGATGGCCCGTTCTTTTAGGAGTTCATATGAGCTTGCTAACTCTGAGTCAGAATGACCCACGAACTGAAACATTCAGACAGCACCACCACTAAAAACTATGGGGGTTCAATTCTTTTGGAGTTTTGTTGCTGAATGCACATTTTGTTTAATTTTTCTTCCTGGGGAACTTGCCAAAATTTAGGTAAGGGCTCCAGGTTTGGTGGCTCATGCTTGTAGTCCCATCACTTTGGGAGGCCAAGGCAAAGCATATCACTTGAGCCCAGAAGTTCAAGACCAGCCTGGGCAGCGTGGCAAAACCCCATCTCTACAAAAATACAAAACATCAGCCCGACTTGGTGGTGTGTGTCTGTAGTGCCTGCAGCTACTCAGTAGGCTGAGGTGGGAGGAACCCTTGAGCTTGGGAGGCAGAGGTTGCAGTGAGCCAGGATCACCCCACTGCACTCCAGCCTGTGCAACAGAGTGAGACCCTGTCTCAAAAAACATTTTTTTTTTTTTTTAGATAAGGGACTGAGAGATGTTAAAGAACTAAATAGCATAAATTACACATGGCATGTTAGGACTATAGGGTAATGGTAGTTTAACAGTCATTGGGGGAGTAAATTTTTATGCAACTAGAATAAGCAAAAAGCATACCTTGAGTTGGAATCTCTTGAAGGTGAAATTGTTATCCTAAATGTCTGTACTTTGCTTTTTGGAATTTAGGAAGCAGTATATTCATTCAAATCTGTTTTGCTTTCATTAGCTTGCTTGCTAAAAATTAATGCTTTTCTATACAGATTGAAACAAAAGAAATTTATGCTCAAAGGCAGCTTTTACTAAAAGATATGGATTTGCTAAGAGGAAGAGAAGCAGAGCTGAAGCAAAGAGTTGAAGCTTTTGAATTGTAAGTAATGCATGTTCATTTTGGATATTCAGAGTGATGAGATTAAAAAGAATTATTAAATATATGTCTAAATATTCTAATGTTCATTGCCAAGTAGAGTTCTTGTTTGTAAAGGGGATATCACCTAGCATTAGAAGGTACAAATTAAGAGGAACAAACACTAGGGTTTTGCTTTTGAAATATTAAACATTAAGATGAAAAGACCAATGAGATGCTATCATCAGGCTACAGTAAGACCAGATAGATAATTTGGAGAAGCTGTTAATACTGGAACAGATCGTATGTTTTGCAGTTACATTCAGTCCCTCAGATCTGATAGTTCCGTGTGTGTATGTATAGTAACTGAATTCCATATATCCAGGCCTACAGCTTTTACCAGCTGTGTGCTCAGAAAAGGAAGTATGGTGGTCCGACTTGACTTGTATTTGGTGAAACTATTTCTTTGTGTTATTCACTTTTTCTGAGTGCTCACAAATGTTTCATCCCTCAGATCTTACCTGGGATTGACAGCAAGCTCACCTGTCCATAGTTTGTGCAGTAAGCCTTCTTTTCCTTTGGGAATCTGCTATTGACACCCATAGATACTCCAGGAATCTTAGTTTGTTAAATAATTTGTCTCCATCTTCATTAATGTTTTTTCTCACTTCTATAGGCTTAATTTGTTTAATTTCAACTCTCTGTCTACCTTACTCTCTTTTTGGCAATAATGAAAAGGCAGATTGATCAAGAGAGAGAAATAAGCACAAAATCGGGGCAGAGAAAGTTCATCATACCTTTACCTCCATTTTCTCTACTCTTGTTCCCTCCTTAGCGTATAAACTAAATAAATGTAGTTTACCTCTCCATGACTTTCCAGGTTACCAGCAGAGGGAGCTAATACCTAGAGCCTTTACCTGTTCTTGGACTAGTCAGCATTTTGTAGCACTTCTCAGGAGGACTGGATCTCACTACCTGCAAACCTACCTCCCTGGCTAAGGAGTTGGTGCTATGGTTGATTTAAAGTCTCACTATGAAGACCATTCTATTCTTCAGTATTTGGAAGCCCTGATTGATCCATCTATCTTTTGCCCTCTCTTTTGGTACTTTTTTCAGTATTTAATCAATAGGGTTTTTTGTTTGTTTTGTTTTGTTTTTAAGACACAGGGTCTGTCTGTATTGCCCAGGCTGGTCTCAAACACTTGGGATCAAGCGATCCTCCTGCTTCAGCCTTCTGAAAAACTGGGATTATAGGTGCGGGCCACCACACTTGGCTAAAGCTGATTGGTCATTAAATGACAAAAACAAATATTCTATCTTGAGTATATATGGACTAATTAATTAAATCCCACAGTTAGAAACAGTATTACAGAAGATTCAAGCACGTAAGTACACTTACTTGTTACTTTGTAACTAATAATATTCTTTCATCCCAGGATTGATTTTGGCCGTTTATCACCTATAACCATTGTTTAAGTGTTTATCTTCTGTGAGAAACCACTTCCCTCTTGAGACTCTCCCACTCCCCTCAGCCCAAAGCCATAGTCAGTCCTGCTAGTTTCAATGTGCTGTAACTAGGTCAGTTCATAAAATACACTGAGGACTTCTGGCTCTTTCTTTCTACTTCCCAATAGTGATATCATGTAGCAGTTTTAGTCTGTTGAACTAGACACATGTGATTTTTTTCCTAAATTTGTTAGCTCCGCTATGGTAGTTTATTTACTTTTTATATTTTTGCTAATTTCAGGAACCAGAAGCTCCAGGAAGAAAAACATAAAAGCATAACTGAGACACTTAGGAGACGGGAGCAGAATATAAAGAATTTTGAGGAGACCTATGACCGAAAGCTCAAGAATGAACTTCTAAAGTAATTGTTAAGCATTTTTAAATAACTGATATGTTTAAATTAAGTTGGTAGAAACAAAAACTGACGAAGTAGTCTGTAACTTAGGCAAACTTTAGTGTTTGGAAAAAAAAATACATAGTTTTATCAATACAGTCAATCCTTTCCTGCATTTAAGTTAGGATAGTTTTTAAAATACAAGGGCCAGGTGTGGTGGCTCATGCCTGTAATCCCAGCACTCTGGGAGGCTGAGGTGGGCGGATCACCTGAGGTCAGGAGTTCAAGACCAGCCTGGCCAACATGGTGAAACCCCATCTCTACTAAAAACACAAAAATTAGCCGGGTGTGGTGGTGAGTGCTTGTAATCCCAGCTACTGGGGATTCACTTGAACCCAGGAGGCAGAGGTTGCAGTGAGCTGAAATTGTGCTACTGCACTGTACTAGCCTGGGTGACAGCAAGAATCCATCTCAAAAAAAAAAAAAAAAAAAAAACGTATAAAGATGCACATCCTCTGTGCTGCTTATGGCTTCTCTGGCATTTATTGCGGGCTGTGATTTGCTTTAATTTTCAGTACACCTTGTGACTTGCTCAGCTTGCATAGTTGATAAGCTGTAAAATTGGAATTATAACCACTTTTAATTATCTTTTTCTCTGCCTCACTCATACAGCCCCAAGGATGGGGGTATCTAACCATATATAAATTACACTAATGGTCATAGTATTTGTCAGTGAACATGTGCCTCGTATTTCTTCAAGATTCAGCAAAGCCAGAATCAAAAGAGCTAAAATTAACTATGTGAAGCAAAAAGTGATACAGAGAAAGGAAAATATGGACAACTATGGTTACTTTGGCTTTTCTGTAGTCTGAGTTTTGTGTATCAGTGAATAACATCTCAGTGCTACGATATTATGCCCATGTGGTAACATTTCTCTTCAGTGTGTGGGAAAGCATGTGGCACATAAAAAGTGCTTAGTTAATATTTACTATAAATGTGTCGCGAGGAAATGATTCAGCTTAGGTGGTCTGGGCATTTCTTATTTGGCCTTTTTTATTGCCTTCCTCAATTTGTCATTGATATTCCATTACATAGTATTGCAAAGGTTTCTTGAAGTTATCCTTTAAACAAATTCTATTTTTTAAAAATATGGCAGCTTTTTTATTGATTTTGAAATGATGTATTTTACCCACACCTTCTATGTCAGTTTCTGTACTAAAATAGCTAAAATGGAAGTGTCTGTAGTTGCTGAATTTTTAGGAATAAATGAATTAAAGTATGTGTGTTAATTTTACATAGTTAGGGAGCTAGTGAACTGTTTAGTATCATTGTGACAGCTTCCACAGGCTGCATGTTGTTTGTCTGGCTTTGGGAATCCTCATATGACTTTGGCAGGTGTTGGAGTTTGGAGGCTCTTCACCACAGGAGTGCTTCTATTTCCTTTTGGAACCAAAAGGGCAGATGGTAACAGCTGGGAAAGGGAAGTGAAACGGTGAAAATGTGCCTTTTGGTATTGCTAATCCGGGTATAATGCCCTTGGCGGTTGGCTCTCAGGACTGCGCTTAGTCCCTGAGCACAAAAGTTCTTACCTTGGTTGGGGGTGGGCAGATGGTACAGGTGGATTGGAAGTGACTGTCTGATTATCATTTGGGATTGAGTCTGTTGTGTGCTGTGTAAATTTAATTTACCCCTTTGTTCTTTGTGTCGATTGAGACCAACTGAAAAGTGATTGTTTTCAGTAAATAACCTTATGATAATATGACCCTTCATCTTGTGTGATTGAGTTTTGGGACCCAGTTTATAGGATCGAGGAAGGGTTTTACTGGGCATTTTATGTTCAGAGGTCATATCCCTGGCTTTAGTATTGAGGACTTTGAAGTTTACACATTGTCATGTTCAGCGCCCTCAGGTGCTCCTGTGCCATAGATAAGTTCCTGCACTGATAACAGTCTTTCCAGAAAAATGACTGAGGAGCTCATATTTAGTCATTCTGATTCTCAGGTATCAACTTGAACTGAAGGATGACTACATCATTAGAACTAATCGACTGATTGAAGATGAAAGGAAGAATAAAGGTGATGTTTGGGGGGGAAATAAGCTGTATTTTTCAGTTCTGCTGTAGGTTATTAGCTTCCCAAGTTGGGCCTGTTCCATATTCTAAAAAATATAGCTTACACTTCATTGTTTCTACAAAATTACATTTTTGTAATTTTAATTTTATAAATTAAAAAAAAAATCATTGTCTTCACTGCCTTTTGAGAAACCTTCATGTTTAATAATTTGTATATTCACAAAGGCCAGTGATTTATCATGGATATTTTATCCAACTTTATTTCATATATTTTGATAAATCTGCAATTGTCAGGAAAGTAGCAGCAACTTACTGCCATCAAGTACGTATTACTCCTAACCATGAGAGACTTTATTTTTCACTTACGGAAAACTTCAACTTCTCTGTCCCCTGTGACCTAGTTTCTTATTTCTTTTGCTTCTAATGTATTTTTATGCTTTACAGTGTTTTTACTTGATGTATAACCTTCTGAACTCTTGTGTACATTGGCCTGAGACTATGGAAGTTGAATAATTTTTCAATCTTCAGATGTTTTACATTTCAATGTATTTCTAGGAAATTGCTGCAACAAGAAGTTGAAGTTTTGGTGGAAATTTCAAGTAGATTCTTGGGAGTAAACCAGGGTTGGGTAGTTGATGTTGACCCAGATACCCGATGTGTGGCTACTGTCTTTTTTTGTTTGTTTTAGAGATGGAGTCTTGCTCTGTTGCCCAGGCTGGAGTACAGTGGCACAATCTCGGCTCACTACAGCCTCCGCCTCCTGGGTTCAAGTGATTCTTGTGCCTCAGCCTCCCAAGTAGCTGGGACTACAGGTGTGCGCCACCATGCCCTGCTAAATTTTGTGGAGACAGAGTTTCACCATGTTGGCCAGGCTGGTCTCGAACTCCTGACCTCAGGTGATCCGCCTGCCTTGGTCTCCCAAAGTGCTGGTATTACAGGCATGAGCCATTGTGCCCAGCCTCTTTTACTATCTTGTGGAGACTAATACTTCTTTTATGGATTAGTACCATTATGTATATAACAAATTATGGTTTGATGATATACCTACATAGACTTGTGTTAGATGAAGTGAAAACTACAAAATACTAACTACAATATAGTAACAGACAGATCTTTGTCTTCAAGGAAGTTAAGAGCTGTGGGTATTAGGGCTCTGTGCTTTGAGCAGATGGTATAACTCTGGTTAGCATGTGTAGCAAGTGGAATTTCACCACATACATGACAGTTATAGCTTCACATCACCTGTTGGGTAATAGGGTTTATTTCTTACTTTCCCCCTACCTCTGCTATTTGGATTGTGAAATAGTGGTCATTAGGTCTGACATACTGGCCGTAAATATTAAATGGCTTTTGTATTCACTGGGAAAACATTATGGTGTTTAATTGGTGGGCTCTTTTTTCAGAAAAAGCTGTTCATTTGCAAGAGGAGCTCACAGCTATTAATTCAAAAAAGGAGGAACTCAATCAATCTGTAAATCGTGTGAAAGAACTTGAGGTAATTGTTAAGCATATTGGTTTTTGAAATAGATTTTAAGCAATATATGAAATTTTAGTCATACATAATTTATCCTAAGTCATCCTCTTGAGGTGTTTCAACTGCCATTTATATGGCTAAGAAGGTGATGGCTGAAGTTAATTCAACAGTTCTTAATTTCAATCAATGTCACATAGGAAAGCGTAGATAGAGCTTTGGGTCCTGGAGTCCTGCTTAAATCCTGTCTGTGTCTCTAACTGATTGTGTGTCACTAGGGAAGTTCTGTGACTGCAGGTTCCTAAGCTGTAAACTAAGATGTTTTCCACATTATAGGGTTGTTGAGGGAATTCAGTAAGCTAACTTACGTGCCTAGTTCTTAGCGGGTGGCCATTACTGTTAGTTTCTACATCAGCCTGTTCTCCTTCCATCAGCAGCAGGTAAAAAAATTCCTGTCATTACATTGTTATCTTACAGATTAAAACAAAATGAGGTGCATTTTTCACATATCATTGCTTCTTTACTTTTCTATTCATTCATGTGCTTGCTGTCTGAAGGATGAAGCTGGAACTTTAGGTACTTACAACATATTTTGTATATAAAATTTATTTTAGCAACTTTGACTTATGTGAGAACTTTGTAGGCTTTTGTACTCAAATATGGTATATATTATACTAAGAAAAGGGAAGCACTTCACAACATGTTACAGAATCTTTCTTTCTTTCTAGACAGAGTCTTGTTCTTTCGCCCAGGCTGGAGTGCAGTGGTGTGATCTTGGTTCACTGCAACCAACTTCCACCTCCCAGGTTCAAGTGATTCTCATGTCTCAGCCTCCTGAGTAGCTGGGATTACAGCCACGTGCTACCACGCCCAGCTAATTTTTGTATTTTTAGTAGAGATGGGGTTTCGCCATGTTGCCCAGGGTGGTCTCCTGAGCTCAAGCAATCCTCTTGCCTCAGCCTCCCAAAGTGCTGCGATTACAAGCGTGAACCACCATGCCCAGCCATTTTTATCTTACCTTTTCATATTTAAAAAATATATATTGCTATGATAGGTGATTGTTGTTGGGTTCTTGGTTGCCTCTGGAAAATGGGATGATAATCTTAGAAGGACTTGCTTCATGGGATGGTGACCTATAAAACTTCTGCCTCAACTGTAGGGCAGAAGATAATTTTCGTTATTGTAGTTAGAGTCTTACTGCAGAGAGTCAGACTTCTGTCCAGTGACCTTAATTAAATTGTGACACCATGCTTAAAGGAGCCTACCAGCTTTTACTTTTGCAGTACTGTAAAGTCATTATTCAAATGTAAATTTTCTTTTTTGAATTTTAGCTTGAATTAGAGTCTGTCAAAGCACAGTCTTTGGCAATAACGAAACAAAACCATATGCTGAATGAAAAGGTTAAAGAGATGAGTGATTATTCACTACTAAAAGAAGAGAAACTGGAGCTTCTGGCACAAAATAAATTACTTAAACAACAACTGGAAGAGAGTAGAAATGAAAACTTGCGTCTCCTAAACCGTATGTATTTTTCTTTTTTTCTGACTTGCATGTTTTAGTAACTTGTATTAGGTCAGTATTATAAAATTATGCTTTGTACTTGTATAAGGTGGGGGGCTTAAATTGGGAAGATTTATAAAATTAAGATTCTTGGATTAAATTTATATTCTTGGATTAAATTGTATAAATTTAGTTCTTGGATTAAATTAAATTTATAAAATTAAGATTCTTGCATTAAACTCTGCAAACCTGCTTTAGGTGGTGGTATCAAGGCTTCCCTTGCCCTCTCACTGGTGGCCAGTGGGGACACCAGCCTCTACATACAGTAGCCCTAGGCTGGCCACTGCCTCATGGCCAAGTGAGGTCATAGTGCCTGTGATGACCTCTTCCAGGTGCTCTGCACCACCTCCCTCTCTCCAGTGCTGAGAATTTCTCCCTCCCCTGATTCTCAAGGCCCAAGGAGCACTAACAGTGTGGCTCTGTTACTAGCCCAGGGAACTCCACCATCCTTTGTGCATACCCTGAATAAGTCAACCTTTATTAAAGGGTTCTTAGATGACCTTGACTGTGACAGCCATCTGCCTTCTGTTTGGATCCCAACTGCTGCTGTCAGATGCCCAGATCATATTGGATCCCAGGGCTGTCATCAACAGTTAGACCAGAGAGAGAGCTCCTTCTGTGCATGGTAGAGGAGAGAAACAGGCTTTCAGGTTAATCTGAGGATTTGAAAGAGTTCTTTTACTTGGAGTAGGGCTCCAAGGGTAATAAAGTTTGCATTAACATGCACTAAATTCTTTTGTTGTGAAATTTGAGAGTCAGGATTGCTCTGAGCTCATTTAATAGACTTATTATCATATTTATTGCGTGAGTACAAAGCAAAGGAACACTTTAAAACCCCTTTAACAATTTTTGTTAAGTGAAATAACTTAAGGTTGGTAATGACTAGGATTTTTTTTACCTTGTTAGGCCTAGCTCAGCCGGCTCCTGAACTTGCAGTCTTTCAGAAAGAACTACGGAAAGCTGAAAAGGCTATAGTGGTTGAGCATGAGGAGTTCGAAAGCCGCAGGCAAGCTCTGCATAAACAACTGCAAGATGAAGTGAGTATTGCTCTTCTTCAGTTCTAGTGTGATGCCAGTACACTTCATAGATATGTAAACTTGGCACAAGTCATACTAGTGTAAATCAGATTTATTTTAACATCAAACATTACTCTCCCAAATATGCTAAAGGTATCCTTTCTCATCTGAGAAAATTTTGCAGTGATAGTATGACTTTATATTCGTAGTAGTAATAAAATGGAGAAGAAAGCAAACTCACCTAAATATAAAATTTTCTGAGTGCCTGATGGTACCCACTGTTATCTCTCGATTCTCACCCTGAGAAGTATTACAAACATTCACTGTGTCTTCTGATTTCTGCCTGCATGCCCTAGAGTTCTTTGATATGACTGAAAAAGATGGTGAAAAACTTGTTTGTTCTGCTTGTGTTTTTTTTTTTTTTTAATAGGGACCCTCTTGTTTACTGTCGTAAAGCTTCTTGAAATTGGCAGAACAAAAAGAGTACAAACATGATAAGAGAATTTTTCCTTTTGAAGCAAGCTGTGATTTGTTTTACATGGATTTCTTTTCCTATTCTGAATCTTTTCAGATTGAGCATTCTGCACAGCTGAAGGCCCAGATTCTGGGTTACAAAGCTTCTGTAAAGAGGTTAACTACTCAGGTTGCCGATTTAAAATTGCAACTGAAACAAACTCAGACAGGTTAGAGACATTTTAACCCATAAATATTTTTGTGTGTATAAAGCTTCTGGTGTCTGTGAAAATGTAATGATCATAATTTATTGAATATTAATTATTGTGTTAGGGGAAAAGCCATAGAAATATGTGTCATCTTAGAAGTAAAACTCCCTATCCATTTTGGTAATACCATCTGGATCATCAGCAAAAGTTATTTGCTTCATAGGTGCCTCATGGCTTGGGAGAGTCTCATGCCCCAATAGGAAAGGCATGGTGGTGACATAGAAGTCCCCACATTCATTCTAGAATTTCCTTTTTTATTTGTAACCCCAATGTTAACACCAATTCAGTAGTTTTACAGATTCCTTGATAGATATATAAATATACAGGACAAGCAGGGTGGTTTAGCAAAAAGAACATTGCCCTCAGCATCAGAGAACTGTTCTTCTTTTGGACCCCAGTTTTGAAGTTGTTTGACCTTGGGCATGTTACTTTAACTTCCTTGGGCCTCAATCTCCTCATTTGTAATGAGGATAATAATACCTACTGAGCCATGATGAAAAAGATGAAATAAAATGGGTTTCAGTCCAGTACCTGGGACATAAAAGACACTCAGGAAATGGTTATTGGTGTCATTTTATTATTGTGTCTTCACTGTGGATGCATCTCTGCCCCTTCCTACTTCGTAAGAAGGATATTGAAGTTTAGATACTTTCTTCTTCAGTTGCTTTCAAGCTCAAAGAAAGTACGTACGTGTTACTAGTTCAACTAGGTCTGAGCCTTCCTCGTTCCCACCTGCATTCTTTCCTTATCAGCTCCTTGCTCTCTTCTACCAGCACTTGTTTTATTTTTATCTCTACTCATTTCTACTTTTTTCTGTTCCTCATTTTCTTTCAATTCTGTTTGCAAAACTACTCACAGCTGAAGTCATAGCAGTCTCCTATCAATAAAAAATAGTTGAATGAGGATAGAACCCTTTCGCATGCATGTGTTGCCGAGGGCAAACTTTTTTCTTGCAGCATCACAGGGAGGCATTGCAGGAGAGTAGGGCACACGCACTGGCTTTGCATTAGGAAAGCCCAGTAGCTCTTAGACCTGCTAACCGTGTGACCCAGCCTCAGTAAGCTTTAGTTTCCCCATCTGTAAAATCGGAACAGTGAGAGTTCCTTGACCACAGTGGTGTTGTGAATGCAGGTCCTCACTTCCTTATATGAAACTCAGGCCATATGCTGTGGATTTTGCACTAGCCCTAGGAGTTCTGAACAGCATCCTATAGTAAAACACATTAATTATTTTGCAGTCAACTGTATGGATATTCATGCTGGGATAAATAAAGATTATAAATGGGTTTACATCAGTTCAGGTCAAACTTGTCAGCCAAATGAGTTCAAGTCTGGTTAGGCTTTGCCACCAAATAAATTATGAATAAATTTTCAGTTCTCAGAGCCTTGTGGATTTCAAAATTGTGCATAATGGATTCTGAAATTATATCGTGTTACAAAAGACATACGAAGCTGTAGGTGGTATAATAAGCTCTCAATAAATGTTAGTGGTTATCATTACCATGGCTTCAGAAACTTTAACGTGCAAGTTTGTCCTTATTACTTTCTTCCATTTTTCAAAAAAATAATATTCTCGAGTATATTTTCTTCTCTGCCTTGTTCACTCACTTCTGAAATTTGCTTTTTGTACCCTGCAGCCCTAGAGAATGAAGTGTACTGCAATCCAAAGCAGTCTGTGATCGATCGTTCTGTCAATGGATTAATAAATGGCAACATGGTGCCTTGCAATGATGAGATAAGTGGGGATTTCTTGAACAGTCCTTTTAAACATGAAAAAGTTCTAGCACGTATGGTTGCATCAAGGATCACAAATTATCCAAATGCATGGGTGGAGGGTAGTTCCCCTGATTCTGACCTTGAGTTTGTAGCCAATACTAAGGCAAGGGTCAAAGAGCTTCAGCAAGAGGCTGAACGCTTGGAAAAGGCTTTCAGAAGTTACCATCGGAGAGTCATTAAAAACTCTGCCAAAAGCCCACTAGCAGCAAAGAGCCCACCATCTCTGCACTTGCTGGAAGCCTTCAAAAACCTTACTTCGAGTTCCCCGGAAAGACATATCTTTGGAGAGGACAGAGTTGTCTCTGAGCAGCCTCAAGTGGGCACACTTAAAGAAGAAAGGAATGACGTCTTGGAAGCACTGACAGGCAGTGCAGCCTCGAGGCTCCACGGGGGCACTTCCTCCAGACGCCTCTCTTCCACACCCCTTCCAAAAGCAAAAAGAAGCCTCGAAAGTGAAATGTATCTAGAAGGTAAGCCACCCGCACAAAGGGTTGTGGGGTGCTCTGGAGTTGGGTAGCCACCCTGCCCACGACACGGGTTGCTGTGAGGGTCACTGGGCCAGAGTGGCAAGGTCTGGTGTTTGCTTGGCACACAGAACTGTTTAGAGAGTGATAGTCGCCGTTCCTTTGCTGCCTGTTGGTTTCATGCATTTTATTATTGCCACTGCAATTTAATTTAGTGCTTGAATCATTAGTTTTGTGGATCTTATGCATCATAGTTGGCTTTTTGTGAGGATAACAGTTTATTTTCAAACTAATAGAGCTCTTTAGAAACCACGTTGGTATCTTCTCCATGCAATTGGTAATATTCTTTCCTTGGTTCTTTCTGCACCTTAGGTCTGAGCAGATCACACGTTGTTTCCCCCAGTCCTTGTCCTGACAGAATGCCCCTACCATCACCCACTGAGTCTAGGCACAGCCTCTCCATCCCTCCCGTCTCCAGCCCTACGGAGCAGAAAGTGGGGTAAGTATAATGTTCTGATTGATTAGCTTCAGCTGAATCATGTTATTTGCTGTATCAGCCTTCACTTTTTTTACTGGGATTTTTTTTTTTTTGAGATAATTATTATAGATCATGTGGCAGTATAGAATTTGCAATCAGATTGCAAAATGATGTGTCATTTTTGAGAAGCATCTAAATTACCTGGAGGGAAAAAGATTGTTTTTAGCAAATAAGTGAATAATGCTTATTTGCTAAACTTGATATATGGACCATGCAATCTGGTGTAAATAAGCATCTTCCTGGTTCTGTGAATAGACTTGGTTTATTAAGATAAAAAACAAATGTACACAATCTGAAAGCAAACAAATGGAGGTTATTTCTAAAGTTGGAACAATTTTACACATCATTAAAAAGTCATTTAAAAGTCATTTTGGCATTGAAATATAAACAGATAAGGTTCTGACCTGCATATCATTGAAATAAATTCAAACGTGGTAGTGGGCTCTGGAGTAGAGTATGATTGTTGAAACAGGAAGGAGTGGATGTTTTTAGAAACAGGCCACTGGGTCAGCCAGGCTGTGATTTGAGTGATGAGCAGACTCCTACCCATACCTGGGCCCCACAGCAGAGAGAACTGACTCCTTAGTTCTGGGCTCCAGCCTGGGCATCTGCATGTTAATGTAGTTCTCTGCCACATGGGCCTGTCATGGTCCTAAAGCTTTTTTTTTTTTTTTTTTTTTTGTGATAAGCCAAAAGGATAAGACACACACATATGCTGAATTAGGGCACTTTGCTCACTCAAGGTTGTGGTATTGCATCTTCAGCTGGTTCATGCTGATAGTATGCAGAATTTTTTTTCAGAAATGCTTTATGGTTATTTCCTAGGAATAGCATTCAGAGTACAACATTATTCTGTATTAACAACTGTAGTATCTACTTCACAGCATGAAATAGTTACAAGGAGTAACTGAGTAAACAGGTATTAATTGCTGAGAACAATGCCTAGTGGTGGTAGTGAGGTGGAGCTATTCTTTACAAGACAAAGAGAAAAGGAATTTTGTAGAGCCTTTTCTTGAGTCACAAAAGGCTTTTTGTCACCTTGTGCTCTTTGGTTTTCCATTATTAAAACTTCACATTCATGAATTTTATCCTTCCAATCTAGTCTTTATCGAAGACAAACTGAACTTCAAGACAAAAGTGAATTTTCAGATGTGGACAAGCTAGCTTTTAAGGATAATGAGGAATTTGAATCATCTTTTGAATGTAAGTTCAAATATAAGTATCAGTTTTTATAAGTTGAAAATCTAGAAAGCTTAATTTTGGTGAAACGTATCCATTGGTTTAAAAAGCAGTTACAAATTGGGTCATTATTATTTTGTGATACAACCACAAGTACAGATGTATCACCTCATTTTTCTCTCATGAAGATTTTCATGCGTGTGTCTGTTTACTTTTTAAAAATTTCAGTATGACTAATAATTTCAGAGTTTGAGCTAATTTTTTAGCTTATAAATGAACTATTAACATCAGATTTTAAATAATCAGATTTTAAATAAGTGATTTTTCTTAATTTGTTTTTACCTTTTTATAGAGTACAACAATGTTTATTTTTATTTTTTTTGAGATGGAGTCTGTCTCTGTTGCCCAGGCTAGAGTATAGTAGTCCGACCTTGGCTCACTGCAACCTCCCTCCTCCTCCCAGGTCCAAGCAATTCATCTACCTCAGCCTCCCGAGTAGCTGGGACTGCAGGCACACGCCACCACACCCAGCTAGTTGTTTTGTATTTTTAGTAGAGATGAGGTTTCACCATATCGGCCAGGCTGCTCTTGAGCTCCTGACCTCAAGTGATCCGCCCGCCTCGGCCTCCCAAAGTGCTGGGATTACAGGCATGAGCCACCGTGCCTGGCGTAAGGATGTTATTTTCTAAATTTACTGATTCTGTTGATTGCCTCAGATTTACAAAACCTCATTTTTAGTAAAAGAATGGAGATAAAAGAATATTAAGAGTCCAGAAACTCGTGTCCTGGCTATGGCTCTGCCTCAGACTGTCTCACTTTGTAGCCACTTTGTAAGTGTAAAATAAGCATGTAGAGCCTATCATCTCTAAGGTTCTTTCTTTATATTTGTATATAAGCTGTTGGTTAGCCTTGTAAACTTCATCTTCAAATCTGAAAATGTAATATTTTGAACAGTTAAATGAGAGGGCTTGGTAAATTTTGTGAATATTTGTTAAAGTCTTTGTGTTAAATCATTGATAGTTTAATAGAATTCAAATGATTATCAGCAAGCCAATTGAATTCTTCACTGTCACTGGGTTGATTTTCCTGTTGGGTAACGAATCTAATTTTGTAAACAAAGTTAATTCTTTCAAGTACAAAAACACTCTTACAAGCAAATACGTTGGCAAGTGGTTATGTTGGGAACTTCATGGAATCCTGTTAGGAAAGGGCGCACCCAGTTACTTTGGCTTCAGTTCCCGTTCTCCAGTCAGTTGCCCCCACACTGCACTGCCCTTCTTTGTCTTGGTGTTATTATTAAGGACTCATGGGATAATTGTTTGTGCCTCATGCAGCTGCAGGGAATGGGCCAAGGCAGTTGGAAATGGATGGGCTCTCTCCTGCCGGGGATATGCCGCATGTGGATGCTGCTGCAGCTGCTGTGCCCCTCTCATATCAGCACCCAAGTAAGTTCTTTTTTTGAACTAACAGTCAGCAGGGTCACATACTAAATACCAGTCTGTGTGCTCTGTGAATTATTTCATGTATCACTGAAGTCTTCTTGTAGGTGTAAATTAGTCAAAATCTTGGGTTGGGGAGTTATAGTGGCATTATATTGTTAACGACATTTCTGAAGTAATTCCCATGTGAACATATAAAGACAGTGCTGAGGAAAGGACACGTTGGAAGAAAAGGCTTCTCATTTAGCTTCTCAGGCCAGTTGCTTAAAAAGTGTTTTCATTAACTCTTCAGTGCCTGGAATAGTAGTTGGACTTTTCCCCAAGACTCTTCTACAAAAACTGTTCCATGGGAACCTTATCATTTTGGGAAATCACGGTGAAAAATTGAAGTAATAATTAACTCCTATCATATATCTTTAATGTGATTGTAACATTTAAATATTATTTATTTTTCTATCTACTTGTTTCCTTTGTGTCATAAGAAATTAGGACAGAAAAACTTTGTATTTCAATCTTTGGAAAAGCTATGACACCAAGTTAGCTTAGCACTAGAGGAAAACTGGCCATCAGACTTCTCTTGTCTGGCCCACTTCCTCTTTCCTCTTCTCCAGATTACCTACTTCCCTCACTGGGGGTGAAGGGAGATGGCAAGAGAGCCGTGGGAGCTTTGTGCTTTGTTCCAGGGCTCAGCCAACAGCTAGGTCCTTTTCTTCTTGGACCAAGTGTTTAATCCTCAAAGCTGAAAGGAATTTTCTCAAGTAAAGCCACCTCTTAGTCCCTCCCAAACATTGGAAAACATACCCAAAACCCGTTAGCAGTTTCTTGGTTTTAGTCATGGTACTCAGGAACGTATAAAATTACTGAAAGAGGCAAGAGATTTTGAGAGGGTTGATTTTGCTGATTCCAGAGTAAATCTGCTTTGGAAAGCGTTCAGTGAGACTTGATCTAGAGCCTTCTCTCTGCTGGGCACTTTGCTCAGGGCTGAGCCTATAGCTCAAGCCCTCACCTTCCTGGATTTCTAGTAGGGGAGGCAGATAGTCAGCAGGACATCACCCAGGACCGCAGCAGGGAGGGGGAGTAGGGGCCGCGGCCATAAGAGGGAGTGTCTACAGGCACCCATTTGGCACAGACCTGAGCGAGGGAATACAAATAATGTGATAGGATAAGGGAAATCAGCTGAGTAACTAGGTGTTCTGCCACTGAGATGGAACATAGATTATAATATTGACTTTAAAAATTATTAAGCAGCATGGTGAGTGACATTTTGGTTATTGAGAAATTGTTATATTTGTCATTTCACTTCTTTATCTGGGCACAAAGGGAATTCAAAAAGTCTGAAATCTGGTGTCTCAGAGGTGCCCCGTGGACATACTTCCTTTCTTTCCCCTTGTGTCCAAGAGGTTTCTATATACTACGCTGCAGCTACCAAATACACACCAGAGCAGAGAAGCAGCTCACTCTTCCTCTTTATTTTGTAATTGGTGCTTAAACAACATTCCTATTTTGAGATTACTATTCCATATAAGAGAGCGATCTTGTTTAGGAGTAACCATTTTTTCTTCTAGCAAGGAGGAAGTTGCATTTCTGCCTGTGGAAATGATCAACTATCTCCTCTGGTATTTTAATTTCATGAGAAGGATTCAGAAGAGATGCGGGGAGAGAGAGAAGAAACTGTGTTGCTTCTCTCCTATTGGTAAAACTCAGTTCCTGCTGATCGCTTTAGAACAAGGCACAGCAAAAAGGTTCAAAGTCCTCTGCTGAACCTATGAATTTTTCTGCTTATTAGCATTGCTTTGGTTAAAAAAAAAAAAAATGTAGGTTATGGGTCAGAGCCAGAAGAGAAAGGTCAGCATAATTGTCTCTGGGATTGGGGTCTAATTAAAACTTTTGAGATGTAGGGACCTGTGCCAAGATGCAGAGAGAACAGACAAGTAATTAAAATATGGGCCTTGCCTGGAAGGAATAGAAGTGGAAGAAACAAGTATGTGTAGTTTTTGACAAAGCAGGTACAAGATATCCTGCAAGTAAGATGCTGGAGTGGTTACTTGTCACTTCAGGAATAAGGAGGAGGTGGCATTTCAGTTGGGTCTTGAACAGCATTTCAGACTTTGTGAGAGCAGGGGAGTGCTACAGACTGAGGAGACAGTGAAGGTGAATGCTGAGCAAGGAAGATACAGCCATGGCCAGGCCCCAGTGAGTGGGTTGGTACAGATGAAATATTTCTAGTACAAAGTTGGTGGTGATGTAGGAAATCAATCTGGAAGGAAAAGGGCAGATTGTCAGAGCCTGGACTACCATGGCATTGGACTCTCAGAGTGGAGATGCTGCACACACAGCAGATCCACATCTTCCTGTCAGGAAATGACTGGTGCAGATGACCACAGGTTGTTGGAAGGCAGAGACTGGCTTCAGGGAGAGCCTTGACTGGGCTGTTTCAGTAGTCCAGGAAGATGGTGAGAAGGGCCCCTGTTGCAGCCACAGGACAGGGAGTATGAACCTGCAAGCGCTGGTGGCTGAGTGGTTGGAGGGTAGAAAGAGCATGATCGAAGGACTGGGACGATCATGCTCAGGACAAAGCTGGTGCTGTGGGGTTTCCACATGCGGATGACAGGGAACTATCAGAAATGTGGACGCGAGGCTAGGGAGAGAGATCAGGAGTAGAGGAAAAGATATGGAAATGATCCATATACAAGTGATTGCTAAAACCCAAGGAAGGGCTGCCGTCAGTTTGGAGGAAGTGGGGAATGAGCAGTGAGATGGCTGGAATGGCCGGGGGGAGGGCAGTGGTGTGATTTCTGTTCTGTTTTGTTGGGGTAGGACAGACTTGAGCATCTTTATGGGAGTAAGACTTCTAAAACTACTATGTACAGAAATAGGGATTAATGGCTCAGTCAGGGTCCTAAAGATAGGGGAGGGATTACAATCAAAGGCAGAGGCAGAAATGCAGGGTTTGCCTTGGAAAGGAGGAAGGAGATCTGTGAAGAGGATTAGAGCATGTGACATGGAGGGAGGACAATTGGAGTTGGTCATGGTGAGGATGACTTGTTATTTGTCTTAGCCAAGTGAAGTAGGGTGCAGTTCAAGGAGTGGGGTTGGGGGCTTGAAGTGAGTGAAAATGAAACAGTGACTTGAAGCAGGTCACAGAGTCAACTAAAAGCCAAGCAGAGTCTCCGTGGGTCTTGGCAAGGGCTTCTGCAGACTGGTCCTGCATTCATTTGAACAGTCTGATACTGGAAGCTACTCTTTATTTTCTGTCCTATTAGGTGTAGATCAGAAACAAATTGAAGAACAAAAAGAAGAAGAAAAAATACGGGAACAGCAAGTGAAAGAACGAAGGCAGAGAGAAGAAAGAAGGCAGAGTAATCTACAAGAAGTTTTAGAAAGGGAACGAAGAGAACTAGAAAAACTGTATCAGGAAAGGGTAATAAGTATGACTTGATTTTCTGTACTGGTTGCTCCGTTGTACACCTTTCGTAAGTACATTGAGCTCAGGGAGGGGAGTCAATTGGTGTACAAAGTCAGAGGAACGGCAGGTGCCTTAAAAGGCATCCCTGTCCTCTCCTTGTCTTACAGACGGTGAGAAAGGCTGCACAGAATGTGCAGCTTAGGAGTTTTGTAGTAAAGGATGGTTTTTGAAGGTGATTTTTGTACATTCTCATCTGATCCTTAAAACAAGCCTGTAAAAAAGGTAGACTGTGCTTTGCTGCAGAACTTTGCTTTGAAAACAGGGTTTAAAGAAGAGGCTGTCAGTGTCAGCTAGCTGGGACTAGAACCCAAGGGAGGAGATGGCTGCCAGTCCATGGTTGCTTCCAGGGGCACACATTCCCTCCTTCCTTCCTCTAGTTCTCTTCTTGCCTTCTGTGTCCTGATTCTGGTCCTAGCAGATGGATTACTCTGTCCACTTAACATGCCTGCTAAGTCTTGCTTTAATTACTCTAACATATGAATGTTCCTTGGACTTCTGGTTAATTCAAGTCTAAAGCACAGGACACTTGCCAATTAATACCTTCCTTGAGATGACATATTTGTCTTCCTTTGATGATAGCAATGACTTCAATTTTAATTAAAAATTAGTCCTCTGGCACACAGGCTGTACTTCAAGGATCGGGATTAATATTAGTGCATTTTTAAAATACATAAAGTTTTACAAATATATTTGTGTATTTTCTGTTTTGGTGCCTATTTTATAGAGGATGATTGAAGAATCACTGAAGATTGAAATGGAAAATGAATTAGAAATGGAAAATGAATTAGAAATGAGTAATCAAGAAATGAAAGACAAATCTGCTCACAGTGAAAATCCTTTAGAGAAATACATGAAAATCATCCAGCAGGAGCAAGACCAGCAGTCAGCAGATAAGGTGCCAGTGCCATGGACAGGGCAATCTGTGGGTGTGGGACATCCAGGGCTTCCGTGGTTTAACTTCTTGGGATGGGAATCCATCTTCTCAATTGAAGACAAAAAGGTGAAAAGTATAGAAAATCCAAAGTTCAAATGGAACCTTGAGTCTTTTAAATATTCTACTCTTTTGACAAAAACTCATAGCTTTTTTGCTTAAGGTAAAAGATTTAAGAGGTTTTAAAAGTTGGGGTGGCTCATTAAGAACAAGGAAGAAAAGATCTATCATATAACAAATGCATTAGTACTGACATTAATATTTTATGTAAGTCTGTAGTAATATGGGTGTTAAATGCATACCCTATAGTTTATTTTGATGTGCTTGCTAAATTTCATGTTTAAAAGTCACCTCTTTTTTAGACTTTTAAATTACATATATATTTCAAAAATGGTTCTTAGAGAAAAGTTTTTCATAAAATTAATGCATATCTAATTTCAAAATTTTCCACCCCCTCCATGTAATCAGAGCTCAAAAAAGATGGTCCAAGAAGGCTCCCTAGTGGACACGCTGCAATCTAGTGACAAAGTTGAAAGGTACCTGTTTTCCCTACATACTGTTTCATACACAAACTGTTAATTGCTCATTTTGTCAGCCAAGAGAAATGGTTAGATGTTTGAGATTGCCTGTAAGAAGTTATTGAATCAGTCAAAATTACTGACTATAAAAACGACTGAGTTTTTTAACTTGTGAAATTGATCCTGATATAAATTGTAAGCTAGGGCAGAAACCCCCCAGGGAAGGAATTGAGAACATTTTGAAGATAGCAAATAAACTTGACACAAATTTTTACATTTTAATTTTTGTCTTTCCCTAATTTAGTTTAACAGGCTTTTCTCATGAAGAACCAGATGACTCTTGGTAACCATGTTTGCTGCCCAGCTTCTAACTTACATACCATGAGAAGTTACATAACATTTACTCCTTTGTAAATGTTTCTCTATCATCAGACAAAACTCAATAAAAATGTGTGTAATCCAGTGTGGTTTTTTTTTCCATAATTTTGATACCACAGTGTGTGAACCAAGAATAATCTAGTCACGTGAAACCTCTTCTCCAGTCATAGTATTTCTCATTCATTATAATAAAAGGAACTGGCTTTTAACCTCATTTTTACCTTAAATTTTTAAATGAGTATATCTTATTGGTCAATCTATCTTATTGGTCAACTCCAGGCCTACATTTTGGAAGTTTAAGCTGTGTTCTTTTCTCTCCAAAGTTGGGCTGCTACCTGTAAAACAGGTTATTTTTCTCAGCATACTCCTGTTTTGTCCCTGAACATAAAAACAGATTTTTGTAGGCATTAGAAATAGTAAGATATTGCCTCTGGTCTTTACTTTTGACATCTGTGGTTTGAATGTATGTGTCCCTCCAAAATTCATATGTTGGAATTTAAACCCCCCCAGTGTGATAGAATTAAGAGGTGGCACCTTTCACAGGTGACTAAGAGTGGGATTAGTGACCTTATAAAAGGGCTCAGTGGAACTAGTGAGGCCCTTTTGCCCTTCCACCATTTGAAGACACTGCATTGGTCCCCTCTGGAGAATACAACAACAAGGCACCATCTTGGAAGCAGAGACCGGGCCTTCACCAGACATCCAACCTGCCAGTGCCTTGATCTTGGACTTCCCAGCCTCAAACGGTAAGAAACACATTTCTGGTCTTTATAAGTTACCCAGTCTAAGTTATTTTGTTATAGTGGCAGGAACAGACTGAGATAGCATCTTTATTATGGAATCTTTGGTCCTCATACTTAATGAATGGGCTTCAAGTATTTTGTTTGTTTTTAAATGAATAGGCTCCTTCCCTATAATTGACTTCATTTTCATCTCTTAAAGGTCAAGTTTTACAAGTCAGAACTGGAAAAAAATCTCTACTCAACCCTCTAAAGGGTCCTAGGTTTTGTGGCAGGATCACTGTGGATAATTAAGAGGCTGCTTGTGGTTTTATCTAACCATTATTTTACAGTTTCCTCTGGTGACTCATGTGACTTAAATAATTGCACAAAATGCCACTTAAACAGAAGATACTAAGTAGTGTGACAAATAGCACACGAATTGAGCTCCTGATTGTTCTCCTGCCATACGTGAACAAAGGGTGATGATCTAGAGTCAGCACCTCATTTAGGAATGGCCATGTGTCAACAGTGACACAGGCGGGCCTCACTAAGAAAGGTCAGATGCACAGAATCCAAATGCATAATCATGTTGACAGATAAGAGTTTAAACAGATTATAAAATAAAATCCTAAGTAACGTATTTAGCTCTGCTACTCTAGAGAGTCAACCGTTAGAACTAGGTTTTTTTATATTCCAGAATAAATCTTTCAATAGACTTTTGTACCTTTGGTTTGAAAAATAACTACACACATGCTCTTGTTTCTACTTTGCCCAAGTTTAAGCCTCGTTGATCCTATAGGTAGATGGCATTTATTTGTTGAAAAACTACTCAGAAAAATTCTTACTTTACACAGAGAACTACAGAAGTGCTAGTGGCACTTTTATGCCCAATACAGCCCAGTGGATTATATAATATTTTCTTAAATTGCTGAAAAGATTTTTGCCAGAAATAAACCAAGTAGCACTCATAGACTTGATTTCCATACCAATGTGAAATCTTGACTATGCACATTATTCAAAAGTGACACCATACTGAGGACAAAGATAGGATTTATGTATGGTAAAAAGGCAAGTGAATGAAGCTATAATTTTATTTCATTACTCTTAGTACATCCACAACTATTTCCACCTAAATAGATATTCAAAATAAGCATACACAAGTATCGACTATTATCTACAAATATTTATTGTAACACTTGAATAGAACTACAGGAAGCCCTTGGCACTGATAGAAAATATTGATTCACTGTTAGGTTACAAAAATTTATACATAGCAAAATTTAATGCTCTTTACATAAAAAATATTAGACTACTTAAACAAAACTTCCAAAAATTCCTGGTAATAGCTACCAGAATTAGAAAAGTAAAATTAGGCTTTAGACACTGCCTCTTCTAGAACACTGGACTCTGACAGCACCTCCACTGCTGGAAATAATAGTTAAATCTGTCATGCAACAGGAAAACAAAACACTAAGCTATTTTGGAACAACTGTTCTACATAGAAGAGAGCTTCTCTTAATTAAAAAAAAAAAAATCCCAAATAGGCATTTTTAGGCATTAACCAAAAAAAGAATCCAAATGAAATATTATACTTGATGTTCAATTTTAATAGCATCTTAATAAAGGTATGCTTCCTTTCATTTGAATACATTTCTGCACATGTATATGTTATAAAATCCAGGAAACAGCCAAACCACAAGTTAACTCTTAACAATGAATATACATAGTTAACCCTATAGTAAGCAGCCCCTTTGAAAAGCACTGATGCACCCAACAGTTAATATGAATCATTTCATAAAGAACAACACAAAGTTTACCATCACTAATACCCAGTACCTACAGTCACTTAATGTTCTGGAACACAATAATGCAGAAGGCAAGTTTCTTTTGAAAATGGCTTAAACTCAAGCAGTTTTCTTGCTGAACATCAAACTTTATTATTCCAGGAAACTAAGATTTAGGTAAGAAAAAATGAAATACCAACCCTAATTTAAATTACTTAAGTATTCAAGTCTGTAAAAGCAGGAGGTTAGAGGTCTGTGGTCAGTTTGCAATTAGGTTTTAGATAGTTGGTATGAAACTGTAAACTTAGTATCCAGACCACTGAAAAATGGTTTAGAATGGTGGTCATTTTAATAAGGTAACACTTCTTAATTAAAAACATTTATGGAACAAAATTCTGTGAAAGATATTTGGGTCTCTAGTTATGATATAAATTCTTAGAAATTTAAAGCAAATACTCATTAAGGCAGAGCTGACATTTCCCAAGAATAATGAAAATTGAATCAGTATTTTGTTAAAATGAAATCTGTTACAAAATTGCTTCTGGAAAGCTTGTCAATGAGTCCAGAATCCAGATTCTTTAGTAGTAGGGTCAGCAGAATTGTAGCTAATTTTAGCATTATTGAAAAATATATTTCTGATTGACTCAGGAAATTAAAGGGTCCTGCACTTGGGAGGGAAAAGCTAATTTGAAAAGTCAGTCATAAGAATCACATTATCTTTGATCCAAAGCTTAATAAATGTCAGCTGTCAGAAATGGAACTTTACATCAATTCCATTTTATTTCCTATGTAGATAACACTTATTTGAGGACAGATGGCATATATGTGAATTTATGGTGTTATCCCTTGATGCTGGCATGTCACAGGTCCCTATCAAGGGGTGTGACATATTCCATTAGTGTCTTGGTAGAATTGCCCTAGCAATAAATGTGAACATGCCACCACAGATTCCCAAAGTGTTGCCTTTTAAAATGGCTAACATGAAACCTCCAATATTTGTTCTAAAGAAAAAGATTTACCCACTGGAAGGTTTTCCTAGAGATACATCCCAGCAGCTTGAGACAGACAGTGAAGTGTTTGTACATCTACATTAGTTTGGTGGGATACACATCTGTACTGCAGAGCAGCTGTCTGATGATTTGTCAGAGCTGTAAATACGTCGGTCGAAACACTCTGGCAAATATTTATGTGTAAGAATTGAGTTGTTCTTTTGACCGAGACTGGATATCTTGCAGTTCCTGTTCTTCCTTTGCTTTGATATCCTGGTAAGCCTGCATTTTGCTTGCATCCTTTAAGTAAGCCCAGTTAGAAGACAGTATCATGAGGAAGTGGATCTGGAAGAGAAGGGTGAGCATGATGGCTAGTGAGCATGTGAGAAGGCAAAGCGAGGCGCTAGTTAGATTAGACGGACTTGACTTTAAAGGGGGCGAAGGTTATTCTGTATTAATACTCGCTCTACTAGCAGAGCTGTCAAATCCTGAAAGCATGCTCTACTAGTTGGCTTCGCATTAAAAGGCTGAAGAAAAGTTAGTACACAAACATAGTGAACTGGAAAAAAATGGCCAAAGGTATTGTTAAGAAAAAGCAAAAATGAAATACAAGAGGGTGCCTTTTTTTTTTTTTTTTTTTAAACCATTTTGAGAGTAATTTTAAAGATTGATGCGGAAGTTCGGGAGCACATTGTATAGTTGAAATAAGTGTAGTGTGTGCAAAGACATTTTCTACCTGTAGATAAATCAATTCCCCCAAAGGCCTAAAAGCATGAACAATGTTTATTTTGAGTAAATAATTAAACTACATATTTAACATGGAAAAAATTAAGTGAATGTCAAAACCAAAATTAAGAACTATAAGCAAAGCATGCAGTCTCTCTGTTAACAAAATTTAGTTGTGAAACTACACTTTTCATTTTGTAAATGCCATTTCATTTCATAAAATGCAAAAATCCTCAGTATCATTCTTTACACTTGATGCGGCAAACACTTCTTTCCTATTTTCCTTGTATTTCCTGCAAAATAAATCTACATCTCAAGTTCCTTATAGTTCATACTTCCTTCTCAACATATTTGAGACCTTCAGGTCCAGGCCTAGTTTCTCTTCCCGTTAAAATCTTACATGCAGCTTGAGAACTAGCTATGAGGAAACAGTTATTACTTACCAAAACACACAATTTAAGGTTACCAATTTTGTGGGCTCTAAAGGAATGATTGTGTTGTTGGGGGGGAAAAATATCCACATATAAATCCTTTTTTTCAGAGAACTGGGTGACCTTTTTCTTCAAATTTTCATCTGGCTTATTTGAGGGTCATTTAGTAGTGAACCATGTGATCATAAAAAAAATTGTTTTAAATTTAGAACATATTTGCAAAGTATTTTCCAGAAGGTGTGACAAAACAAAATCCAGATTAAATCCATTTCATCTTCAGCACTTGTTTTCATTTTCATCATTGAAACTGGTTATCAAGCAATCAAAAATAACAGAAAATGTTATTATTCCAAAGTGTTAATACTTCATTCAAAGATATTGCTCTCTAAAGTTTAAGTATGAGAACATTATTTTAAAGAGGATGCTCACCAGTGTCAGTAAATAACTGAATCCTTTTCAAAATGTGGAAATAGCCAGATCTCATTATTGTGTAATTCATGTACAGTAAGTCATCTTATTAATCTACCATGCAAGATGAGTTTACTAAAGCTATTTACAAATTACTGTAACAAAACTGCAGAAACCTAGACTCTGCTTTAGTCTGGAGTGTCAGTAATATTTCATGCTACAGAGCATAGCTCTCTAAAACTCCTTATGCAATTTAGAATTTAGTGCAGCAATCTTCCCGACTCTTAAACTTCAAAACCGCATAGTTATATGTAGTAGCCATCATGTAGATCAGCTGGTGGAAGAGAACAAAACAGGACAGTAAGATACAGGCAGTGAGGGCCAATGCCATGACACTTCTAAACTTGGGTGGGGATGGGTGCCTGCTCATAGTCTAAGGTGTTTCTTTTTTTTCCCCACTTAAAATCACAAGAGACAATTTTCCTATCTAGGACACACAAACTTTTTCTCATCACATATGTACAATGTAAGTCATTGGTTCTTCCCTAAGTTTATTAAAAGTACTTGGATGTGTTTGAAGAATAACAAGACAGAGAGCTGGGTCAACAGCATGAGAAGGATGAAGCTAAATGCCTTAATCCCCTCATCTTTCCAAAACCACCTGCTCAGCAGCAGGCAGTTATCTTTCCTACCTGTTGCTCAACCAAAAGAACAGGTCACCCCCATGATTTTACAGGTGGTTTTTTTTCATAGATTCTAAGGGGAAGGAATGATTTAATGGTCAGAAAAACTGGGAATGACTAATTTACAAGCAGCTGAGATTTTCCCCTTGCTCTACCAGTCTTAGTTGGTTTTCCTCAAATCACAAACCAAGCCCTCCAAAATTACATGTGTACAAACATATACATACATAAGAGCATGTGTTTATACAGTTGGTTTTCACTACTTGTAGATTCCATATTTGTGACTGCCTACTTGCTAAGATTCATTTGTAACCCTTAATACTTGAGGCACTTCTTTTGCAGTTATTAGCAGACATGTGCAGAGCGGTGAAAGTTGAGTTGCCCAGTATGCATATTCCTAACTGAGGTTGAACAAGGCAACACTCTGCCTTCTTGTTTCAGCTCTCAGACTGTAAATAAGTATACTCGAAATATATTTAGTGCCACATTTTTAACATTTTTTTTTTTGTGGGTGATTTTGCTGCTTAAAATGGCTCCCAAGCATAGTGCTGTCTAGAGTCCCTAAGCGCAAGAAGATTGCAAACTGCCTGACCAGAGAAAATGTTCATTAGAGAAGCTTCATTCAGGAATAAGGATAGTGCTATTGGCCATGAATTCAATATTAATCAACAATATATATTAAATAAGGTGTATTTACACAGAAACACACAAAACAAGCTTATGTGTTGATAGGTTGATGAAAATGATGTGACCAGAGGCTCACAGGAACCTAGCCATGTATTTCCCCTAGGAGCAGTGGTCCAGCATTTGCTAATTCAGTGCTTGAGGTGACTTTATGGAACACAGCTACTGTGTATGAGAGTAACTATATAAATGTATATATATGTGCATATTTCCACTTGTAAATTAATCCTTGGCAAAGAGAAATGGGTAATGCCTCATGTGAGCATTTCATTTGTGTGCGACTGAAGTCATGAAGCTAAGTGCTCAGTGCAACAAGGTAGTATGCTTGGCCTAGCTGATAGGTGTTGATACCCTCTTTTCTTTCCAGAGTCCAAATTACATCACCTACAATTGGTGCCAAGGCAGCCAACTAATACTTCCTGCAAACTACATGTGGTAAGTTACACAGGCGCCAGTTAACCAAGGTTGAGTGCCAGAATCATTGGCTTCAATAGGCTGGTAAAAGCTGGAAGGGAAATCTGTCATTTAGAGGCTAGAGGGAGGAGGCTAGACTAGGGTGGTCTTGGGGCCATTACTCACCAGGGCAATGACGGTGGCACCAGCTCCTGCACAGGCCACAATGAACAGGTGATAGGACATGTAGAACTACAAAAGAACAGGGCACCAACATAAGCATTTGATGTGTAATGAAATGGCCTACACTCATTCTGGGGTGCTGCTTCATCTGTCTCCTTTGCAGCTATTCTCTGCAAGACTGGGCACAGGCCTGCCTTCTCTTCATGCTCTGGCCTCATGGTGGAGTCACCTGAGGAGCTTTAAAAACTTTCTGATGCCCAGACTGCCCCCCAAATCAATTAAATCTGAATACCTAGGGGCTGGGCCTCAGCCATCAGTATAACATAGTGCTGCCTTGATGGCTGAAAGGTGCAGCCAAGGTGGGGAGCCCCTGCTTCAAGCTACTGCATATTATGGATATACAAATTGACAAGTTAGATAGGGTAGGAGCTGATTATTTCTGTAACTCACTGCTTTTTAAAAGCTTGCCAGGATTTTCTTAAATATACAAGCACCTATGAATGCATTTATAAACAGTTACAAGCCAATGACCAAAGAATGTTCTAGGGCTGAGACAATTCAAAGTGTTAGGACACACTCCCTATTAAGAATGAATGAGAAATAGAGAAGTAGCCAAGTCATTCCAGAAATATAAATGATTAACTGTGGCCTCATTTATTAAAAATTGGGCATATA